ATTAGAAAGCGTATTGCATCGATGCTGAAGCGTTTGCGGGGAGCTCCAATAGCATTCTTAACACAATGGTAGATAGATAGGACTCGCCGCTGCTTGAGCACTGGATACGGCTTCATGCCAAGGTATAAAAGTAGGGCACCGACTTTTATAGCGGATGATCTCAACATCCTCATTTATATTTGTGTTTATTACATTTATTTAAATTAAATTGATTACTAACACTAAAAGTCATAAGTTATATTTCACTTCAATTTTACTAACATACTATATGGGTTTTCTGTTGCCTGAAATAAAGATTTTTTTATTTTTTTTAAACGCCCTGGCGACATGGCGCAATCGTTTCGAAGAGCGCTAGGAACGCAAATGCGTCATTGGAAAAATCCTGCCTGTCTTCGAAGCCTGGATACAGCGACGAGTAGGAAGACTCACCTACAGGCTTACACAGATAATTACAGGGCACGGGTGTTTCGGTGATTAAGTAACGTATTCGGTTGACTGTGTAAGATCGGACGCGAGGTGACGGCAAACTGCTTTCGCTGCGGAGGACGGGACCAGGACTCCGCTTTTCACACGCTTGCGGTATGCCCAGCGTGGGAACGTGAGCGGACGATTCTGGTAAACCGCATTGGACGGAACCTCTCCCTGCCAGCAGTCGTATCAGCGATGCTGAGCGGGCACTCGATGTGGAGGGCCTTAGCCATCTTCTGTGAATCCGTTATGATTCAGAGGAGGCTTCTGAGCGAGATCGGGAGAAGTAGGATCCCGCTCGGAGACGACGTCAAGGCTTTAGTCACGGCCCTCCTAATGAAAACGGTGTTCCCCTACCAGAAACAGGCCCTCCGGGGTTTCTGGCGCTCGGGGTGGTGGCCTCGAACGCCTAGTTATGTAACCTCCGAGGAGGACGATGACTCGGAAGTGGTCTCGGAGTCATCGTGGTAGCACTGCGAGGGTGCTGGGAGTAGCAAGTATTGCCCTCGGGACGTGCTATTAGTGTAGCAAAGAGGAGTTCAGATCGCCGTTCGGAACGCAACCGGAGAACTGGATCGTGTATGGCATCCATTATAAATAATCAACTCAGTTTTCAATAGAGACTGAGGGGCCCTAGCTGTCCACGGGGCACTGGGCTGCAACCCAAAAAGCCGTTCAGTAGATCCAGTCCTGAGTACAGGTGTTCTCTATTCCCTCACTCTCATAGTTTGATGGAACGATAATCCGATACGACCTGACTCGGATTCGAATATGAGGTCCCCGTGATTCGCAATCGCGTTTTCGACCACAAGACAGGTAGTTTTACGAGAGTACATTAGTAGCATTCAATAAGAGCTTCAGTGTCATCCGATACAAAAGCGGCGATTAGGTTTCTCTTACGTTGTCGCCACAGGTCAACACACAGGTTACTCTGTCAAGTCCGGGGGGTAAGGACTCATCATACCTAACAAAACGAGCCCAAACTCGGCACACCTAGTAGTACTCGGCGACCAGTTCCAATAGCGATTACCAAAGTACACCTTCAGGTCACTCCGTCAAGTCCGGAGGTAAGAACTCATCATACCTAACAAAACGAGCCCAAACTCGGCACACCTAGTAGTACTCGGCGACCAGTTCCAATAGCGATTAACAAAGTACACCTTCGGGTCACTCCATCAAGTCCGGAAGTAAGGTCTTATCATAACTGACAAAACCAGCCCAAAATCCATAGCTAACATCTCACTGCCAGTAGAGGGCTCCCAGCTCCCTCTGCACAGGCGTTTACGCAAACATCCGTACTACGTATTATTTCAGAAATAAGAATATGCGATTTAAAAAAAATCTATTAGTTGGACTAAAAAATTAAACACTATAACGTTAATATGTTGAATGTATAAAAATCTGACAAAAAATCAGAATGATTGCATGTATATTAGTATGGATTTTGCATGTTAAAAGAAATTTTTAGAGGTATATTTGTGATTTTTTTCTGTCGTATTAAATTAGTAGTATCATGTTTTCAACACACTATCTAACTAGCATATATCCAGAAAAATATCATATATTTTTATGGGTTTGTTTACCGCAGTGGATCATATACATAAACTTGCTTTTAGCTGCATGCCTCGTCTTAAGGTTGACTGCTCGTTTGTCGTCCTTATTCTATAAAAAAAATACTCCACTATGTGGAAATCATAAATACTGTCGTAATTATAAATTTATAAGAATAAGAAATAGTTTCATATTAAAAAATCTTTATTTTTCAACGTCAAAGCCGACACGAAACAATTTCCTTATGAGCAAAATTTTTATACAAAATTTGTTTTGTGGCGACACGTTTTACGTACTGCAATACTACTCCGCGCTAATAATTTCGACAAATCAAAAGTTTGATTCATTCATTCAACAATGAAATCATACAACAATGCGAATCAATTAAAAATATAATTGTTATAAATGCCAGTGTTTTATAATATATTACAAATTATATCCAATTAAAATCTCATGGTTGAGTATGACCCGTATGGACTTGTGTTTATGGTGTGATTTTCACTAATAAATAATGTATTTGTGACTTGATTCCATTCTTATTTATGACAATTGATAATGCAGTTATAAAATTAGATTAAAAACTAGAAGAAAAAATATTTAAAATGTATTTAATAAAAGACAAACAACAAGCCCAAACGAGTGTACACTATATCTATTGAGTTGAAAATCAGATTCTGATTTTGAGCACAGATTATCCAATTTGAGTCGACAGCTTGAGACAATAATTAATACAGATCTAATCAATATTACATATGGAATTACACGATAATATGATAGATTTAAAAAAAAACGCGCTTAGCTTGTGAAATCACTAAGTTTAAAACAAGTACTAATTAGAAACAAATGTAAAAAAAAACGACGGGTTGCACTCCGGAAGTGCCGGCACAAGTGAAAACTTGAATATCAACGTTGTTCATTGTTGATATTTTGGAATGGTTAGGGAATAATTTTGGTGCAGGCATACATTTTCGCCGCGCCGTAGAAAGAGAGGGGGATATTTCTTCTCCTACGCCGTCCGTCTTACGAATTTTCGATCAGGTCACGTGTCCTGACGCGAGTTTAACATTTTTTACCCATTACAAAAAAAGTGTACAACGCTGCTAAAGAAGTTTTCACTTCAAAAATTGACATATTAAACCAAGATATGAGTTTTACAAACTTTATAATTCATTCAAATTTAAAAAAATTCTTCATACCATTTATAATAGCGAAGAAATAAATTTTCATGTCATGACTATTGTATTCGTCTGGCAGTTTATGTGTGCAGGTTATGTGGTACAATACCACATAACCTGATGAAATAAGACACATGGGTCTTTATTCTCTTATTCAATAAGAGTAAATATAGTTAAAATTTTACAATAACAACATTAAATGCCAGCATTTCTAATGTCCACATAACATTCATCTACATTGCAAGAGGTAATTTACACAGAGCAAGGTTTTTTAAGAAACGTGAGACATGCAATGTAAATGAATTTTTTGTTTTGGGACTGTTGCATAGAGTTTTAGACGGTTTGATCATATTTTTGTAACTTTTTATGTTTAAATTAATATGCAAGGATACGATTTTGATGTCAAGTGGCTCTTTAAAATAAGTACTAATTGTTATACTAATGGTACTTACGTACGAGTGCTAATAAAAAATAGAATCATAAATTATCTAGTGCCATCTCAATCGTAATTAAATTAAAGTTAAGGGTATAAGTTGAAATAATTTCTCTTAAAAGTTATTTGTATTTACTTGCATAGTCTATTTTAACAAAGAAACAAGCACAAGTCAATATCATTACAAATCTAATAACATGTAATTTATTCATTCAAAATTATTTTAATTGTATGATTAAATTGATACAAATTTTATTTTTTTATTTTATTTTATTAACTGCCATTTATGATTCTGTTCTTTAATATCCGCATTATACTAATGTCGATTCGTAGTACAATAAGGCAACCTAACTAAATGACAGTTAACCAATATCAGAATCTGTTTTAAGTACATTTGTGGCTAATGATGAGTTAGGTAGAATATGGAATGTAGGTACGGGAGATTGTTTAACACACTTAAGCAATTTTAACTAAGTTTTAGGTTATTTAGATCTATAATTTCTACAGCGGTATGTAAATGAATAGTGTATTCTTCGAGTTTTCTGTAATGAATTAATGATAACTTTGAATAAATAAATAGTTATGGATTACCAGGAATTTAACTGATTTCGAATACTTACGGATGTTAAGGTATTTGCTTGTCTTAACCACTTAATTAAATTGTAGGTCGGCAACTATGTATAGTGTTGGATATGTGGAAACAAACACAACACATCTGACAAACAACGATCTCTGTTAGGCTAGTATACATAAAATACAACAGCATGAAACAACCTGAAAACTAATACTTGTGTTTTGGCACAAATGGTTTTAACCAGCAGGCCTACTCTCGACAGAATCGAGTTCTGCCGGCCTACTCACTCTTCGGTTCTGAATCAATCAAATTTTATTCGAAATCTAAGTACTACATATTCTTAAAACCCGTAGCTAGCGCACAATCTAATGGAATCAAAATGGAATTCTTCAGCTGTCCATGACGAGAATGCTTTTTCTTGATAACACTGTCCTATTTATATAATAAATATATTTAAAAATGGGTTTTAATTTATAAAAATATTATCTTTGGATAAGAATATCCGGTTGTGCCTGTTATTCAGATGATGCTTGATTGAATTTTGATCGTGTTACTCGGCTTGAATTGGTTCAGGAGACCTTTTGTCAAATTAAATTCAGGAAAAGGTCAGTTTAAATCGAAAGCCAAATCACATTCAACAATATTTTGGAAGTAAGTATACTGGTTTCAAAAATAGAACCTGCCATATAGTAGCAAAGTACTCTTCACACAAGATCAAAAAAAATATTATCCTGTAAAGCAAAATAACATCTTAAATAGTAAGTGTGTGAAAATATTGAGTTACATAAAAAAAATCATACTAAGATGACTTCGGTGGTGATCGACCATTTACAACAGTGGGACAGTCCTTCCATGATTTACCTTTCTTTACTGTCACCTTCTTCTTAACTACCCTCTTAACTGTTATCTCCTCATCTGATAGTAATCTTTTCTTTGGTTTAACTTTTTTCTCTTCAATGGTGAATGAATCATCAAATATATCTCCACTGGAATTAGCAGACTCATTATCCCTTATGGAATTGAACGCCTTTTTACTTCCTATAATCTCACTAATTGGGCTATCAAAAGTCACCTGTCTAGGACTCCGTCTTGGTTTCTCCATTGATGTTTGTGTCGCTATGTTTGCGTGATTCTTCTTAGCAGGAGGCGTCGCCTTGGGAATCATTTTAGTTTTCTTTACTTTGATAACTAGTGACGGTTCCAATGATTTCCTTTTCATTGTCTTTTTTCTTGGTTTTTCTATTTTCTTCTCTTCATCAGGTTCTTTGTTCTCACAATTTTCAGTCTCTTCGTCAACTGGTTTCACTGTTTTCTTGACGCGACTCACCTTTGCACTGCTCGTCGGCTTAGTTTTATTTTTCACTACTTTATCGGTTTCTTCACCATCAACTACATCACTATCCGCTATACTCAGCCTTTTATTATTTCCTTTTCGGTTTATTGCATTTTTAAACTCCAGTTTACTAGACTTTGTCTTGCCCTCAGTTTTAAGGTAACTTTCAAATAGTTGACAACATTTTACATAATCTACAGCTTCTTTTGGTTTTAAAGAATTAACATATTCAAAGAACTTGATCAATGCATCTGAAATAATGAAAACAATTTTGTTACCTACTTATAAATAAACTAAATATGAATTTTTTTAATAAAATCAATCAAGAAAGTAAATATAAACAACTATGGAGCACAGATTCTATATTTATTTTACTCATTGGTGACTTGATATAAGGTGGGTGTACCATGGAAGGCCACTCTAACAAATAAACAGTTATAATTAGTTTAATCAAAATTGATTGAACTTAAGTTTCATTGAACTCTTCCAAATGACCTTGCTAGGAACAGGGCTCCTTAGAAGGCCATTATAATAAATTAGTCATTTAACACTAAAGTTTAATAAATAGCGATTAAATCTACAATTAAAAAAATGGTTTATATGTTACATAATAAAACAAAGTATTACTTAAATATTTGTTAGTTTCATTTATCCAGTAAATAAACGAATAATAACTTTATTTGTAGAGTGGCCTTCCATGGTACACCCACCTTAACTTAACGTCGTCGATTCCCGAAATCAATGAAGCGAGGTACCGTACTGCCAAAATAGTAGCGCGAGCGATTCGCCGCTGCGTCTGTGATTTTCAGTTCGATGGGTTCGGTGTAAGTAGAAGGAATTTGCCATCAAATGGCAATAACTACGAAATTTTAATAATTGGCCTTCGAAGGAGCATGGCCTTCCATGGTCCACTCACCTTAGTTTTTACACTTGGGAGGCAATTTAGTATTCTTAGCCTAAAGGCCGATTTACTCTTCGACAAGTACAGTAGCGACACACCCCGGACACTCCATACCATGAAGGTTAGAGAACAGTAGAACGATCGCCGTAGAAAATAGTCCCAGAAATATGGGCACCATAAGTGAGGCGCTGCGATCGCTAAGTTCGGTCAATAAAAGTCATTTTCAGTCTATTTTTCTGATCAGATGCTAAACCACTTGCACATCTGCACAATAAAATATTTCTCAATTTTTTAATGTTTTTTTTGTCAAAAATTACAAAATCAGGGAGCATGAAAATTTTCTCACCAATGCCGCGGAGAAAATTAGTACCTACATTATTCAACTAACTTCATCTACTAGTATTCATAAACAGCTAAGTATTCATAAACACTACTCACCGACGTCAGCGCCGCTAAAAATTCTACAATTTTCAAGGACAGGCGGGCTATGCTGTACATAGTAATCGTTCTCCTGTTCTTTAACCTCCATGCTCCATACAACACTCGAAAATTAATTACCTATTATTACTACAACGTTTGTACACGCGCAAATGTGTGCGTGAAATTGAGTGCGGCGCCCAAAGTTGATGTGGCGGGGCGGCTCCAACGTCGGCTCAAATGATATTGTAACATAACGGAAATATTAGTTGTAAATAGTTACGTATTTATGGTACAATGATGAAGTACTAAACTAAATGATATCGTAGATGAATAATAATAAACTAACATTATTCATAGTTTTATTATTATTTTTATAATATAATAATAAAACTATGAATAATATATATATATATATATATATATATATATATATATATATATAAAATAATATATATTTTATATATATATATATATACATATATCTTTGTCTTTCTGTCTTTATCATACCTTGAAGTAGAAAAGTATCCAAATACAGCACAATGTACAACGATCGTAATGAAAACAATTCATCATCATCATCATCATTACAGCCCTTTACAAGTCCACTGCTGAACATAGGCCTCCCCCAAGGTATGCCACAAAGCACGGTCCTGAGCCACCTCCATCGACTTCCTGCGTATCTTACCAGGTCGTCGCTCCATCTAGTGGGGGGTCGCCCTATATTCGCCTACCGGTATGAGGCTGCCACTCGAGAACCTTTTTTCCCCAACGGTTGTCGGTTCTTCGAGCTATATGGCCGGCCCATTGCCACTTCAGCTTACTAATCCGTTGGGCTATGTCGGTCACTCTGGTTCTACTGCGGATATCCTTATTTCTAAGTTTATCACACAGAGAAACTCCGAGCATAGCCCTCTCCATAGCTCGCTGAGCGACTTTGAGCGTCCTCATACGGCCAGCAGTGAAGGACCATGTCTCAGTTCCATATGTCATCACTGGCAACACGCACTGGTTGTACAACTTAGTTTTCAGGTTTTGAGGTATACCTGACGAGAAGATGTGTCGTAATTTCCCGAACGCTGCCCAGCCGAGTTGAATCCGTCGATTGACCTCTCGGTCGAAATTGGACTTACCTAGTCGGACTATGTGTCCCAGGTAAATGTACTCGTCAACAACTTCGAGCTTAGTGCTTCTAACAACTACCGGCATAGGTGTGACATGGCCATTAAACATGATCTTTGTTTTGTCCATGTTCATCTTAAGACCTATCTGTTGAGAGGCACTATTGAGGTCATTGAGCATAGTGCTTAAGTCCCCCAGCGATTCTGCCATAAGGACTATATCGTCGGCAAATCGAAGGTGAGTGATGTACTCGCCATTGATGTTAATACCGTATCCTTTCCAGTCCAGTAGCTTGAACACGTCTTCCAATGCAGCGGTGAAGAGTTTCGGGGAAATAACGTCACCCTGTCTTACACCTCTCTGCAGTTGGATAGGTTTCGTACTCTGGTTCTGTACTCGGATAGCCATCGTAGCCCTACTGTACAAACACTTCAGAACTTCGATATACCGACAGTCAACTTGGCACAGCTGAAGAGACTGTAGCATCGCCCAAATTTCGACGGAATTTTCCAAAGGATTTCATAGTCCACATACGCCAGGCAAAGTGTCAGATTGTACTCTTCGGACTTCTGTACAATTTGCCGAAGGGTATTTATGTGATCTATGGTACTAAAGCCTTTTCGAAAACCGGCTTGTTCGGGAGGCTTGTCGTCGAGTCTGCGTGCGAGACGATTCGTAATGACTCTCGAAAACAGCACGTAGACGCGGCTCAGAAGGGATATCGGTCTGTAGTTCTTCAAGAGGGTGTTGTCACCTTTCTGGAAGAACAAGACCACAGCACTTCTGTTCCACGCCTCCGGAGTAGTGCCACCATGGAGGACGGAATTAAAGAGACTGAAGGACTTCAAGTGCCGGTTTTCCACCCACTTTCAGAAGCTCCGCTGTAATTCCATCCTCGCCCGGGGAATAGCCGTTTTTAAGGTGCTGGAGAGCCATTCTAATCTTGCTCAGACTGACGTCCGGGATATCATCGGAATAGTGTCGGATAAGACTCGCTCTTGGATCGTTACTCACACTTGCGTGTGGCTCCAACGATGATGTGTACAGCTGCCCATAGAACCTCCCAATCTCACTCAGAATCTCAGGTGTACCGGAAACGATGCTGCCACACTCAGTCTTCAGCTTTGACAGTTGGCTCTTACTGGCAGACAGATCTCTGGCAAAGACTTTGGAGCGCTGGTTCCGCTCAATCGCTTCTTCAATACGAGCAGTATTAAATTTGCGTAAGTCTCGCCGCATGTATTTGGAGATCTGTCTGTTCAGTTGCCTGTATGCTGTCAAATCTGTTGACGATTGCAGCCTCATCTTCCGTCTAACAGCCATGAGGTTAAGAGTGTCTTGCAAAACTTAGCTCCGACCGCATGGACAGTTTCCACGAGCTTGTCATTCATATCGTCCACTGCATTGCAATCTTCCAGGCACTGAAAGCGGTTACGTAACTCGAGCTGAAAGGTTTCGGGATTCTGGATTAGAGCACGAGGGGGACGGAGCGTTGACTTCAATAGAAGAGACCTCTCCAACTTAACGTTTAGGTTCAGTGTGCCTCTAACCATTCGGTGATGGCTGCCAGTTTTCACCCTTGCGATCACTGAGACATCACTGAACAGTTGGCGTCTGGTCATCATAATGAAGTCAATTTCATTTTTTGTTGAACCGTTTGGGCTCGACCAGGTCAACTCCTGTGGGGCCGCTTCTGGAAGAAAGAGTTCATCATAAAGAGTCCCTCTTTCTCCATGAAGTCGGCCAGCTGCTGGCCCCTAAGGTTCCGTTGCCCTACTCCAAATTTCCCTAACTTCAGCTCACCGTTTTCTCTTGTGCCTAGTTTTGCGTTAAAGTCTCCCCTCAACACCGTGTAGTGGGTTTTGGAGGAATGCATGGCTCTAGAAATATCCTCAAACATTTTCTCCACCTCCTCATCGGGATGTGCCGAGGTTGGTGCGTAAACCTGTATGACCTTCAGCGAATACCGTTTGGTGATTCTGAGTATCAGGTACGCGATACTCATCGACACACTCCCAATCTTTACAACGTCGTTGACGAGAGACTTGTGGACGATAAATCCGACACCTCCTTGGGACAGATGGTCGCTCTCCCAGTGATAGAACAAGTTGCCGGACTCGAGGATTACCGTGTCCTCCCCCTCTCTTCGGACCTCGGATAATCCAATAATATGCCAGCGCAACTTGCCTACCTCTTCTTCCAACTCCAGTATCTTCTCGTCAACCGCCACTACACGGCAATGAAAACAATTATAGGTATCTTTTGTAAAATATTTTTGTTCTAATTGTAAAATCGTGTGTTCGCGTCAGGTTAGTCCGACTGCGCGCGCCCTTTTTGAAGTGTCAGTGTTGTCTACAACAAAGTACGAGGTTGGGTGCGGTATTTGAAATGAGTGCGGAAAAGTGAGTGGCAGTTCTGGGAGCGAGTTAATTTGCGAACCTAGCGAGTGAAGTAGGAAATCTCGTTTAAACGGCAATTAGTGAGTTAAGTAGCAAGTTAACAATTAAGTTGAACGGGATAGCCGACTGGTTTATTTTTCGGCGAGTACCCTTTTGAGGGCCACGCCAAAAACGCATTACCGTGTCCTGTACGCCAAAGCGGAAATTAAACAAAAATATCTACGAAAAATAACTTGATTTTGTTGGTTTTTTATACAATAAATGACTGTTTATAATCTGGTATGTTTTATTTAATCTTGTGCTGTCTTCCACTCTTTTTATATATGTACTTTGTACATAAATAAAAAACAAACAATAACAATAAAATGGTAGTAAGCCACAGCACTACTCTTCATCGTGATGACGTCACTGTCACGACTGGACGACAACGGCGTAGCTGACCTTCCTTTTTGAAACTTTCTTAGAGGTGTAGCCGTGTTGCACGTTGTGTATCGATTTCGAAATCGATCTAACTAAAATATACAGAGATCGACTCAAAATATTTTATGTGTCGGGGGAGGCGTAGACCAAGCAAGCACAGGAGAAAAGTCCTACGCTTTTATGATAATGATGCTGATATGATGCTGAGACTACCAGATGATTTTGAGATTGAGAAAGAAAATAGCATAACACAAAATGAAAAATTGCTCTTCATATCTTAAGTAAAAAAAAAAAAAATTATTTTGTAATTTTTATGTTATTAAAATAAAAAAATTCATCATCATCGACGCTTTCCAAAACGCGAATAAGTTCTGAGGAATCGTTCATGTTGCACTGCACTACCTTTCCCGCTAATCACTTATGACGTCATCAGGGTGTCTGTCGTCTAACCTTGACGACGCCCAGTGAACTGATTTTCGATGACACGCCAAGGATGTGCCAGAATTTAGATATTAGATTTATTATGCGAAGACGATTTGATAACATTTCTTATTCATGTGGCTAATTATAGTTTTATGTTTCTAACCTTTTGTTTTATTAAAATATCAATAATATTAGAAAAAAAAAAACACATTTGAGCTGAATTTTGGATAGTTTTCAAGAAATCTATGCCTAACGCATTACAACACTAGCGGTCAATCATAGACGACTTTGGCGTGCTGGACATAGTATTTGCTTAGATAAAAATCCATTTTTTTTATTTCAATGTTTCTTAGTACTTGTGGCTCTAGGAGACTTGTTTTTTATACTCACATGTTAGGTCATTCTTTATTGAGGAGTGTAGAATTAAAATACCAGTAATAATTTTCCAATATCTATACTTCGTATTTTTGTGGGCCGGGTTTTTTGTCAACTATAGGCGTCGTTGGCGCTCAGGGCCCGCAGGTAATGGTCAAGTATAGGCGACTTTGACGCCAAAAGGTTAAGTTCGAAGTGTTGTCCTCTCGCGCGTCTCGCGGCCCCAGCAACTAAACTCGCCGCTCGTGTGAACAAACGAGTTTAGTTCAGTCACTGAAGACATATGTCAATCATTCATTTCCCGTGACCGAATCATTGTAGTACATTTCGTCACACGTACCGGTACATTCGGATCGATCATTCAAATGGATCATTCCGATCATTCGGGATTCGGTCGGTTTTCGACTCATTCACAATTCACACCAATAACGAGTTAAAAAGGTTTCGTTAATTGTTTGTGATTGGTTGTACTGGAACATTCAAAAATCAATCAATCAAACTCACTGAACTGAACTTGCTCGCTGAACTTCAGTGCATAAGTTGCCAGGACGCAACATGTTCGCGTTCGACCCTCCAAATATATAATTATATTTTTTTGACTAACCTCGCCACAAAGACATTTAAATGCTACAGTCCACTTAACCATTTACTGTCAACTGCCTTATAACTAAACTCGCTAGCTCGCTACTGTATTTGTTAAAGTGTAAATTGGCTATGCGAGACTAATATAGTACACAAAATAGGATTTTTTTAAATTTCCTACGTTGATTCTCATTCTCTTTTATCTGATATGAAAGGAATAACTTGCAGTGCAACACCACTAATTTTAAAATATTAAATGAGGATCTGTGGCAAACAAACCAGCTTAATCAATTTTGACAACACTATTTGTTGCAGTTTTATTTTTATTTATTTCTATATTGAAGTGAAGAAAGAATATTTTTTTCACTTTTTAAATATCTTTTGTAACTTATAAAAAGGTATGTTACAACCTTTTTAAGTATTGTATATAGTATATGTTGTATACAATCATATCCATAGACAACATATTTTAGGTAAAATTCTTAATTATTATAGGAATATTGCATTTCCATTCCCATACAATTCCAGGGGAAAGTTTTTTGAGTGATAACTTCAAATTGGCAAACCTTGTGAAACCAGGACGTCAATGTCAAGACGTAAACTAGTGATAAGTTACTTTTATATAGCAGTAAGATAAAACATACCAGGTACATTGGGGTACTTCTTAGTGATTTCGGTACGTACATTCTTCATGAATGCCTCCTTCATATTTTGAACTGTGCTGGGTTGTTTTAGAGATTTCTCCCAGGGCAGTTCACCCACCAGCCACTGTAACATGTTGTAGCCAAGAATCTCCAAGTCACCACGCATTGTGGGCACTGCAATTTTGATGTATAGAGTATTATTTGTTTACATTAACAATCTAAAGCGTAACAATATAAAACAGTCATTTGTCCAACTCACCTCCAGCATGAGCGTCTCTGCTGGTGTATTCTATGGTCCCATTGTGCGCACATTTAGGGTCTGGCTTGAATTCCTTATCATTTACTCTGGTAGCTAACCCAAAGTCCACGAGGTATGCCTGGTTTTCCGTGCCTTTCTTAAGCCCCAGAAGGATATTGGCACCTTTTATATCAGCATGGACATAACCCTTGCTGTGTATATATTCTAGGACTTCTAGCTAAAAAAAAACACCAGTGCTATGAGACATGGACTTGGGTTGTTTTTTTATATAACTACAAGTGACGAGCAGCACACAGTACATCTTATAGTAGTGGAAGTGTGGTCCATAGACAATTAAACAACAGCCAGCCTTTTTTAGTCACATAGGCCTCCCCCCATATATCGCCTCATAGGGGGCATTTTCTATGATTGGCAAGCTGGTTGGTGACCGCAGTTTTTTATTTTTAATCGTTATTACGAAAACACCGCTACCCATCTGCTGATTTGTTTCCCCTAGTTGTCTCTGACAACACCCAGGGGCGCAGATGCGCTCTCTATTTCCTTAGTCTCATAGTCCAATGGACTGGCACTCAGATATGACCAGAGGACTAATAATAATAATATATATGTTTGCTTACTTAAAACATGGTATGAAAAAGATTTGACAAAAATACAGTGGACCCCTGGTAATCCGGCCCCAGTCTAATCTGGCACCCCCTGTAATCCGACATGGTCTATTATTTATTATTGAATATTTTTTTGACAATGCTTCTTGATAACACTCTTAAATAGATGCTTCATAAATTGATTGACAATTTTTGATTATTTTAGTATGTACATTTGTTTGTACCCAATTGTTTCCTAATGTAAAGTTATTGCATATTTTTTGTAAGTTCTATAATTTTGCAATAATGACGTTAATTTTATAATAAAACGTAAGCTCTGTATTGTGTTGTTTAATTTACTAAACTTGACATACATAATGAAGCATGACTTGTACTTCAGAGTACATATATATATATATATATATATATATATATATATATATATATATATATATATATATATATATATATATATATATATAAAAAACATATCTTAATCCTCTTTTTTCTATTTTATTCCCCAACCAAACTTGTCATTGAATCTGTAATTTGTCGGATTACAAGGTACTCTTTTGTAAAAAATTCTGGCCTTAGGCAGTACTCTAAAATCCGACTAATTCAATAGTTCGACACTGCCCTGCAAAATGTTTGTTGGATTACTGGGGGTCCACAGTATTATACAACTGAACAGCATGTCTTACTACAATTATACATAGCACGCAAAAGTTTTCGTTTACGTACATTAAGACTTATGATTAATAAAGTCCATAATGTTATAGAAATTATCCTTAATTATTTATTCCTGTAATTTTGATTTAAATTATCTAATATTTAACATTTTGAGATAATTTGGTAGCTTCTTATATAAACATACACACATGGATAAACAGCTTTTATTAAATTTACTTATTCAAGGATTATCACCAAAAATTACCTTACATGGTATTTGCCTGATCCGATGATTTACATCAACTGCTATGTTAAATAAATATTTATTCTTCTATACAAACATACATACATATTTCATAAATCTAAAACATGGCAGGGGTAATAAGTCAAGTTTAAAACACCCGTTGACATGATTCAGTTGGTTTAAACCACAGAAATCTAGATAATAAGACAATAGAAATGCCTTCTACTGTCTTTTAATATCAGGACGCGTGTCGCCAGGTCGTAGCTCTCACACATAGACAAACAATAAATACACAATTACGCTTACAAATATCTCTAGCATTCGTGCAACAAAGATTAATCTATAAACTATTGCGTTAAGGAATATTTTATAAAAACGCAAAATCTCAGGAGGCGTAGCCACTCGGTCCAATAATTAAAGTGTGCGAAAACAGAGAATGACATTGCGCGCTCGCTCTCATTTGGGCATAGTGCAGCCCAACGCATGTATCGATAACTTTCTATTAAGCGTCGTTGATCTTCCAGGAGTCTCACACCAAGATATAACTAATTAACTGAAATTGTCTCAGTAATGGATGCTTTTAGTCTTAGCTTTAGCTTTTAGACGTTTTATAATTAGAAAAAAAAAGAGGAAATAATAATATGTTAAGAATAAATATATCCATTTATCTTTATAAAAGATACACGCCAGATCAAGTTGCAAAACAAACTCATTTAATCAAATCTACCTTCCACATATATTAACAATTTTACTCTCAACATTATCAATACATAACAATACCTTTCTATCCCAATAACATGGTTACAATCATAGTTAAGGACTTAAGTTGAAATAAACCATTTTAATTATTGTTTTCCATTATTTGTTTCTAATCACCAATGACCAACAGCTTCTTGCCAAACTTTAATTACAATATTAATCAGTACTTGGTATGCCAATAATTTCAGGCCACATTTCTGGTGGTGGTATTTGTATTGGTGGGTCAGACCCAGAAGACGAATTTGATCTTCTACGTGATTGAGGTATTGGCAGGTCATTGAGGGTCTGGTTCTCGATTACGGCAGTAGATCGCGCCAGTATTTGGTCAACATGTCGACGGATTAACAGTCCATCTTCCGTTCTCACCTTATAACAACCAGGGCCCTCGATATACTCAATGGTGGCGCTTCGCCACATCTCTCCTGGCCCATAGACACGCACCAGCACGGGCTGGTCGAGCGCGATGGCTCGGGTGGGCGCACGCTGTGCTGCCTCCTCCAGCTGTCGCTCAGAGCGCTCTGGCCCGCTATCGGGATGTAGAGCCGACACCGCAGTTTTATATTTACGTCCATTCAACATCTCTGCAGGAGTTTTACCGAGGTGATTCGGCACCGTTCTGAGAGAGTATAACACCCTATGTAGTTTCTCAGTTCATGATACACCTGCATCAGACATTTTCTTGAGCTTGTTCTTGAAGGTCTGTATCGCCCGTTCGATTTGTCCGTTCGTTGCCGGGTCATATGGGGGTGAGTACAAGTGCTCGATGCCATTGTTCTGCAGGAATTTATTAAATTCTCTTGAGCTAAAAACTGTACCGTTGTCTGAAATTAATTTTTCTGGCAATCCTTGCGAAGCAAAAAATCCTGCGACAACTTACTATTAGAGCTCATATTAGATAAAATATCTGCCTCAAACCATTTGCTATCAATCATAACAAAATATGTCTTCCCTTGAAATGGTCCTGCAAAATCAACATGGACACGACTCCATGGCTTGTCAGGTAAAATCCATGTATGCGGATCTCTCGGTGGATTGTTCCTCACCCGTGGTACCGCCGCGTGGCAGAACTCACAGCAAGTCACTGTGGCCTCTATCTGAGCGTCCATACCGACCCACCATACGTATCCTCTAGCATAGGCTTTCGTTTGGACGATTGCAGCATGCGGTGCATGAAATACCTTTAATATCTGCTGTTGTAAAGAAGTGGGTATGATGACTCCGTTACACCACAATAAACTCTACCTACACCACAATACACTCTTTATTATGTGAAAGAGCTTCTCTTCGCGTCCAATACGGCTGGAGTATGGGATCAGTATTTTTGTAAGTCCATCCATGTAGCACATGAAATAAAACCTTAAGTACTTAAGTACTGGGTCTTTTTTAGTCTCAGAAGCAATTTTCGCTGCATCCAAGTTTAATCCAGAGGGAGGTTCCTCCAAAAGTAGCACATCCGCTAACGAATCCATCCCTCGCACTTCAGCTATGTTAACAGAAGTCCAACGGCTGACAGCACCTGCATTACCAATGCATTTTACGGGTCTGTATTTTATGTCATATTCATAACATGCCAATTTCAGAGACCATCGCAACATTCTAGGTGAAATCTGATCCGGAATAGGTTTATTTGGATTAAATAATCCGATTAATGGTTTATGATCTGTAATGATACAAAACTTCCTTCCTAGTAAAAATTCATGAAATTTTGTAATCCCGAAAATTATGGCTAAAGCTTCTTTATCAATTTGTCCTTACCTTCGCTCGGGAGGTTGTAACTTTCTGGATGTCATCATCACTGGTCGTTCAGACCCATTCTCCTTTACATGGGCAATTATTGCACCTATACCATATTCCGATGCATCACAGATTAACAATAACTCTCTTTTTAAGTCATATACAACCAAGGTTAAATTTGATGACAACAAATCCTTAGTTTTATCAAATGCAACCTGCTCCACCCCCATACCCAAGGTTTCTTTGCTTCCAGCAATCATCATCAACGGCTCCAGTATTGTAGCTTTGTCCATAATTAATTTTTCATAAAAATTGTATAACCCTAAAAATGCCCGTAGCTCTTCTTTGTTCATAGGTGCTGGTTTCTCCTTTATCTCTTTCACTTTAATAGGTGATGGGTGCAATCCCTCTGCATCAATCATATGTCCTAAAAAACTTATGTGATTTGATGCAAACACACATTTGTTCAGATTTAACCGAAATCCCATTGCATTTAGTTTGGTCATGACCACCCTTAGTCTTTGATCATGCTCCTCCTTATTCTTTCTAACAGCGACATCATCCAATAGACATGCTACTCCTTCAATACCTGCGAGTGCAGTCGACATCACACGCTGAAAGATTCCAAGAGCTGTGTTTACTCCAAATGCTAGCCGGTTCATCCTCATTAACCCTAAAAAAGTATTCAGTGTTAACAACATAGCTGTGTCCTTGTCCACTTTCATCTGCATGTAAGCCTGTTTTAAGTCAATCTTACTGAAAATTCTTTCACCACTTAATTTCACAAAGGACTCATTAGCAGCTGGTAATGGAAATGTATCAGTCTCTACGGCTAGATTAACAGTTGACCTGTAGTCACCACATATTTGAAGTGAGCCGTCATCCTTTTTTACAATTCTTAATGGAGTAGCCCATTTAGAGTATTTTACAGGGATTAAATATACCTTCATTCACCATGCATCTTAATTGTTCCTCAACTTGTTTTATCAGAGGAAATGGTACCTGGCGTGCCTTCAAAAACCGTGTCACGGCATCAGCTCGCACATTTAACAACACTTGAGGACCCTTATACTCTCCAAGTCCTTCTTTGAATAACTCCGGTAAAGATTTTAATAATTCATCAACCTTCTCATCATCTGTCCAGCATATGCCAGCTATCTCTAAGCCCAACATTTTAAACCAGTTTCTTCCTAAAAGGCTAGGCCCACGACCAGAAACGACCAGTAGCTCACATTGTGCTTCCTTGTTTCCTAATGACATGCTTGAACATGAGCTCGACCTAACACCTTCTGTTCATCACAGGTCCACGTAAACAACTTCACGCCCGTCGCCCCTAAGGGTGGGGGAACAGACCACAGCTTATAGTATGTATCGTCAGCCATGATTGTCCTTGAAGCACCTGAGTCCACTTCCATGCTACACCTTTACACCATCAATCATAACATCTGAATGGTGGTCGAATATTATCTGAGCAAACAAAACCCTCATCATCTGTTCAAATTCTTCATTTTCTCTATCTGAAGTTGAACTTTCCTCTACCTGGTGCAACTTGCCAGATTTCTTCATACAGATCGATGCAATATGTCCAAACTTCTTCATGTAATTGCTTTAATTTTACCAATATCCATAGGTACTGTGGCTGTGGACGGAGTTTGCTTCAGCACGCTTGTTTTCAGGTACAAATCTGAGAATGTGCCTTGATAGTTAAGGCTCAATTGCACTGCTAACTCATAAGTAAGTTTTCGTCTTTAACTCGCGATGGAGATGTTTTTAACGCACACGTAACACTAATCGGTCCTGTAGCTGTCTTTTTAAGTCCACAAAATTACACCTGGAAGCCAGAGAGCCAATAGCCGCAATAAAGTCCTGAATACTTTCATTATAATTTTGTTGACGTTTATGAAATTTATCAGTTTGTAAAATTTCATTCACTTGAGGTTCATAGAATTGGCCAAGAACTGCCAAAATGTCTTTAAATATCACAGAACTTCTAGGCACCAATAATGAAACAATTAATGAATATGTTTACTTTCCGCATTGTGATAGGAAAAGGGCGCGGGCTTTGTCTACATTATCACCAATTACATCCGCGGCTTCCAGAGCACACAATAATCTTTCTTTATATTCACTCCAATTGTCAGTCCTAGGATCAAATTTTCCGGGAAAGTGTTTCCCATCACATTTGTCAAATTACACGCCATATTACTACTTAAACTAATTAATTTTCCTCAGCCGCCATTAAAAGATACACGCCAGATCAAGTTGCAAAACAAACTCATTTAATCAAATCTACCTTCCACATATATAACAATTTTACTCTCAACATTATCAATACATAACATAATAATAACTGGATCTTTGGAAACTTGTAATAAAAGCATTGTATTAAATAAACAGATTTATAAATAAAATGAATACAACATTACACAAACAGCAAACGAATAAATATATGTATGGGTGACATATTCATCATTTTTTGTTAGTATTAAATAAAATAAAATTAAACTGACTTTCTGTTGTTTGCTACTTTTCAGTTTCCCAGCTTCTTATAGATCTAATTAAGACTACTATCCTTACAATATAATTACTTATCCTTACAATATAACTGATTAAAATTTATCAAGTAATTTAAAAGTACAAACAAACAGATAATCGCTGATAAAAGGTTAATGGTATAAAATGTTTAGAAAGTAAAAAGGTAGAAAGGTGCAAATAAATATTTAACGAAAAATCACATTTAATTCTGTTTCGTTAAAACTAGGTAAGCCAAACATAATAAATTATCGATACAAAATAGTTGTGTCACGTGACGTTGTGACTCGCATTTGACTCCTGCAGCCATGTTCTGGGAAATTTACGTATGCAACAATTTTTGTTTATTGCCCATACTATAAATCCATCGCTGATTTTAGCTGTCGCACTCGTAGACATGAACTAGCTTAGGAATCAATGCGAACTTCTCCAGCATAAAAGGTGCACTCAGTAGACATAAAGTTGAACCGGCACTGATCGACTGTATAGTTTGCATGCTCAGTACACAAATAATAAAGATTGCTGGTGAATCTCAACCAATCAAAATTAAGAAAGGCTGCCCGCAGGGTGGGGTTCTCTCACCTCTCCTGTGGAATATGGTCATTAATGAACTCATCAGCAAATTAAATACTAATCACTTCTATACAGTAGGTTATGCTGATGACCTGACAATACTGGTCTCGGGAAAGACAGCAAGCATAGCGACCTGACCCAAGCGGCTCTCCGTATAGTGGAGAGATGGTGCAGGGAATACGACTTAACCGTCAATCCAAATAAAACGGTTTTAGTAATGTTCACACAAAAACGAATGCTGAATAACTATCATCTTCCAAGTCTTTTCAGCACAAAACTCCAGCTATCCTCTGAGGTAAAATATTTAGGTCTTACCTTGGACAGAAAACTTAACTGGAATAAACACATAGAAAACAAAATCAACAAAGCTAGTATAACTTTCTGGCAATGCAGAAACATGATTGGCAAAAGATGGGGACTGACGCCAAAAATCATACTGTGGCTTTACAAAACTGTAATTCGGCCCATGATCACATACGGCGCTCTGGTATGGTGGACCAAGACAAATGAAGCCACCACAATTAAGAAGCTTCAGCGCTACCAGAGACTGGCATGTATGGCTGCCACAGGCTGCGTAAGAACTACGCCAACAGCAGCCTTGGAAGCGATGCTGGAGATAACTCCGCTTCTTCTACATATACAACAAGAAGCGACTTTAGCTGCCATCAGACTCAAGACCCTAAATCTTTGGAGTAAGAATAGTGTCCCTCATACAGGCATAATTGATAGAATTCACTCAGAAATTCCTATCCTACAAGCCAAATGCGATAGGATTCCTAAACAATTTGTTTTCGATAAGAAATACAAGATACAATTAAATGAAAACAGCCAGCCGGAAGGATTAAGCCCAAAAGAGCTTAGAGTTTTCACCGATGGTTCTAAAACAAATGAAGGTGTAGGTTCTGGAGCTTTCTCTGAAGACCTCAATATTCACATATGCACACCGCTGGGTACCTATAACACGGTCTTTCAGGCGGAATGTATGGGTATCATTCAAGCGGCCATAGCAATAGATGCTAGGAAGGTTAATGACTTCCCCATCAGAATACTGACCGACAGTAGGGCGGTACTACAAGCTCTGAGTTGCAATGGACTAATATATGAATGCCATCAAAGATTAAATGAGGTATGTAAAAACAACAACGTGACTCTGCAATGGATGAAAGGGACACACCAGAGGCAACGATGCAGCGGACGAACTGGCCAGAATAGGATAGGCTCTGGCCACTATAGGGCCGGAACCAATCATACCAATCCCCTTTGGTAACGTTCGTTCACTGGTACGTACACTACGCTAATTCACACTTCACTAATCAACATGCTCAGCTTTGGAAAAATCTAGTAGACTGTAGACAAGCTAGGGAGGCCCTACCTGTAATAAACAGTCGCTTAACCAAAGTTTTAATGAGACTGAACAAGCCGCAGATCAGGATAGTTACAAGTGCTATCACAGGACACGGCACCTTTAACAAACATTTACTTACTAAAGGTGTTACAGATCCCCTCCCGTCCCCTGTGCAGGGCATGTATGGGGGAGGAAGAAACGGCGGCCCACGTGCTACTGAAATGTCCGGAGGTCGCTACGTACAGGGCTAAACATCTCGGCACGCCGGGATCACTCCCCCGAAGTTGCATGCAACATCAAGGGACTGTTGAGCTTCTTCAGGGAGATCTCATGGCTCGAATAATCACATTATTCCTGCCACACGCAAAATACGCGCATAGACGTGGGAGTTGCGGAAAACAGCCCATCGCAAACTAACTAACTAACTAACAAACTAGGAATCAATGGATATTGAAATGTGAAAACAATTAAAATTTTGGAGACAATCGTAGTACTGGAGGTGGATAATTTTATTTAAGTGTATTTCATTAAACACAACTTTATTTAAAATTAGTGTTTTATGAAATGTTATCCCTTTATTTGAAAATTTGCAAGTTGTGGAGGAATTTCTGTTGTTGGATATGCTTCAAAACACAATTTTTACGTCTCTGCATCCGAAAAAGTACTGGTACCGAAACAAACGCTCCTCGCACGCTTGTGGCCTACGAGTCACATGTGCGGCAACAAGGTCACATGCTTTTACGACTTCTAATTATATTTAGATTTCTGTGGTTTAAGCCCATATATTGCTCTGATACATTTTTTGTTCCACTAAATGCTCTATTTTGATCTGTGCTTTTACCCAAATTTTATAAGTCTGTAGCGCAGTATTGAATTCATTTTTATTAAAATGGATGTATGCCAACAATATGAATCAATCCATAAACATCAATATATATTTTATGAAGAATATATATGCAACAAGATATATGCCATAATATATTTATAAGATATATGGAAAATAGCTCTTGGATATAAGCTCAGATTGCTTACATATCACTCAATATTTAATATGTGTAATCGCTTACCATTTGTAAACCTATTTGGAAGACAGTTGCAGCAGGGAATGACCGTCCTGACTCTTTGAACAAACTCCACAGGTCTTTCCCGTACCTCTCCAGCACAAGATATCTGTATTTCTCTCCTTTGAAATCATGTGACCCATTCCCATAATAGGAAGGCATGCCAAAGGTGGACAGTTTCTTAGTCTTCATGAAGTTTGCAACTAAAGTTACATAAAAAATAAAATTACTAATAAATGTAAAAAAGTCTTTTTATCATTCAAGAAAAACAAAATCAACTTACTCTCCTCCTTATTAGCATTTCTAATGTAAAAATGTTTCTCCACAAAGAGTGGACCATTTTCATGTGGTTCCTGTGCAAAAGAAAAATGATACATTAATGTGTTTTTTTTTTCATTTCTTTTTATTTGAAATGATGTTTTAAATTTACACTAACATAGTGTTAAATACTAATTTAAATCATCATCATTACAGCTCTTCACAAGTCCACTGCTGAACATAGACCTCCCCCAAGTAACGCCACAAAGCACAGTCCTGAGTCACCTGTATCCATCAACTTCCAACAACTAATTTAAATAGTAATATTAAATTAAAATACAAAAAATAATTTTAAGAAAAAGCAACATAAACACCACTTTCGCATAGCGTCAAAATTGTGATCATCAATCTCCACCTACCAAGCATGAAGGGCAAATCCTTCCAAGAACGGGAAGGCACCATGGTATGATTTTCATTGACGTCCGTCGAATTGAAGATGGGGGAAGGACGGGGGAGGAGTACTACTCCCCTTAAAAGGAAAAGTTGCGGACCCACCCTTTCAAGTTTTTTCATTTTTAATTCTGAGGAAATTTTCCTCATTTTATGGCTAAATATTAAGTGTAAAAAACCAGGGGGACCTCTTGGGGGGGAAGGGGGTACCCGCTAAGGAAGGGGGAACCCCCTTCACCAAATAAATAGAGGCCCGGGATTTGTATCTATTTTGAGACATCAACGTCTTCAGCGCTGCGGGAAGAGCAGCCTCCACTTGCTGTAACAAATTGTAGGCATCGAACGAGGCTGGTCAATGGAAAGCTTACGAGGCTGGTCAATGGAAAGCTTAACCGGCACCATGAGTATGTCATATCTAGATCCAGGTCCAGTGGTGGACTTTACGTGCCGATAGAAAAGAAAGAATATGCTGGCTGTAAATAAAAATTCTAAGACTTAAAAAATTAAATCTAAAAAGGTGAGACTCACAATTTTTACTACGAAGGGATAATTCCCCTTTTTAGGTGAACTCTCGTGGTCGCATGCAGAATAAATTTCACCAAATCCGCCGACTCCAATAGAAGGGCCTATTCGCCATTTCTTTTTAGTAATTGTATCGTGAATTACTTCCCCGACTGGAATAGGGGCTGGCATTTTATAACCACTAGCTTTCTTTTTAGGCGCGCGGGGCTTTTTTCCTCGACCTGACATGTTATTTAGTCTTTACAGTCACAATCATACAAGAAAATCAAAAAACTTCAACTTTTAATTCGTGAAATAATATTTTGTTAATTATAACTGCAGTGCAAACTAATAAGCTAATAACACAAATAATAAAAAAATAAGCGTTGTTTTATTTTACAGTTTACACTGGTTTACACCACCTGACAACTGACTGACAATGACAAGGAGCAGTGTTGCCAACAGTGTTGCCAACATTAAAATCTAGCTCCCGTTGTAGAGAACACTATAAATACGGGATTATACTCAAAACCCGTCAAGTAGGGATTTTCGAGTTTTCATTCCCCCTAAATATTAAAAATGAATTGATTTGATATCGATTCTTGGACATACACACATGGATTATTTTTCAGAATTCAATCTAAGAGAATAACCAACAAACCAAAGTATATGCATAAATACATATAATAAATTTTAGTTGCCCCGTTAATAATTCCGTTAACCGTTAAAAATAATTTCATCCCGTTGCCAACATCCATGAAGGTTAGAGAACAGGAGAACGATCACTATAATACTATCACTATCATACGTACTAAAACATAGCCCGCCTGTCCTTGAAAATTGTAGAATGTATAGCGGCGCTGACAATGGTGAGTAGTAACTACGAAGTTAACTGTTTATGAGTACAAGTAGATGAAGTTAGTTGAATAATTAGTACAAATTTTCTTTCCGCGTTGGTGACAAAAATTTTCATGCTCCGTAATTTTGTAATTTTTGACAAAAAGAAACATTAAAAAATGGATAAATATTTTATTGTGCGTGGATGTGCAAATGGTTTACCATCTGATCGGAAAACTAGACTTAAAAAGATTATTATTGACCGAAACTCAAGCGATCGCAGCGCCTCACTTATGGTGTCCATATTTCTGGACACTATTTTCTACGGTGATCGTTCTCCTGTTCTCTAACCTTCATGGTTCGATCCGGCACGACGGCGTGGCAACGGTGGCAAGGGCAAACAATGCAAAATATATCTATTTGTCATGGTCTCTATGTTACTATGAATAAAGTATATTTTTGAATACCTTTAAGTCTAATTTTCTTAGACTTCTCTGTTTGAGAAAAACATACGTTTCATTACACGCATTTTTATTACATACGGACATATTAAAAGAGAGAGATTAATTTAGCATACGTAAAAATCGCCCCCTTTTTTCCGAAGTAGCCTAAATTGCGACCAGTCACCAATCGCAATTTTTGGAGACAAAAACATATCATTGGAGATAGTCCAAAAGGCGAAAAATTGCCTAACTTGGCACCATTGACAAGTAGCCATGTCGATCTGAGATCAATTGATCGAACAATCGATTTATTGTGCTAAGAAGACCGATTCTTTTAATCTATGTATAGTACTAGATTGATGCAGTGAATCGATATTTCACCCTAGAAAATTGAGATCAAATCTTTTTCTGTTAAGAAATATAAAATGTAAGAAATATATAAAAATAAAATTATTTATAATTAGTTGAATGTACCCATACTCGTAAAAAATGACAGTTTTTCTATTTAAAAACTAGCAAAACTGCTGTTTGCTCATTTCTTTCGCCTTCTTCTTTCTTAATGGATTAAAGAAAGAAATAAGTAACGTTTTTAATCTGTACTTTGTAAGAATCTGAAAGCAAATCGGAAAAAAATCGATTTTTGAGAAATCGATCTTTTAGACCGCGATTTTTGTGTGAATCGATTCATCAAGTTTCGATTCGAATTTATTAAAAAATCGATCTTTGCCGGAAGGAATCGACATCCCTACTGACAAGACCATCTTTATGTTTTATTTATTTTAGATATCTATCACAGATTACGGTAGTCTGTGGTAGCAAACTAAAATACTCCCTACGCCCGAACTTAATAACGTACCTATCTCTTTTTTAAGATTAAAGACAATCCGAGATTTTACCCTTTACAAAGATCGATCTAAATCCACGCCCCAATAACATAACTTAACAAGCCCAATCCTTTTTATCCAAACATCTATCCGATTCCTCTCTACTGTTTCGTTTTATCATTTTCTGCATAGCGACTATTGCTTCATTCAGATAGTTGTATTAATATAATAACTTAAAATGTCATTAATTCGAATTTATTACCTTTAACACTAATTACAAGTTAAATTACGTTAACTACTTTTTAAACGCGATAAAATCCGTAAAAGTAGTTTTAATCAATACTTTTTTCTCCCTAAAATTATAAAATCACTATATTTTTATTTGAATCGATGAAAATCTATAGTTATGAAAATAATTACATAACGGTACGCCGCCGGGCACCGGTCAGTAGCGTGCATTGAGTTATACAACACTAGAGGAGCAAACCGCATTACCGCGCGTCGGAAAATGTGTAACCACTAACCAAACGCGACGATGTAGCTTTGAAACTAATAACAAATTCAAATAAACATATATCCGTCTCACTTACACTAGCCGCGAAAACAATACTGTTGCTAAGATTAGATATAGATAGAAACACAAACATGCAATGGCGGGTTGGTGTTGCCTACGATATGAAATTTTACCCTAAACAAGCAATAAAAAGGAGTTTTTTTAAAGCTGCAATTAATTGTTTTTTTTTTAAATATGTATATTTTCATATCGGATGAATAGAGGCAACCATAACTGATGAAATAAAAGATATTTTTTAAATAATTTTTATTGTACTAATAAATGAAACAAAAATATAAAATAAGTAAAAAAAAACAATTTTGGTTTTCTTAACGAAGAAGATCTTTGTGTGAAAAATGCATGAGTGAGGCGACCTAGAAGTATTTGCATGAAAAAATGTCCATGCTCTCAAACTCCGCTATGAAGCATCAGTTTGTTATACAATTGCCTTTTAGATTCCTTTTTGTGTGTTTGAGTGTATAATTTGCTTTCGTGGTACAATCTTATTTTTAAGTACTTATAAATAATAGCATTGATCAATAAAAGGGAATGATCCACATGTATTGAAGATAAATGATCCCCCGGCCGTATTGCAAATTCTCTTAATAATTTATTTCCTTGAAGTTCTTTTAATATTTTTGTAGCTAATGTCATGAGACCAAATTTAGGTGACAAAGAATTAATGTCGGAAAGTTTCATGGCATGTCTTATAATGCTTACACAAATCATTCATATTTCAAACACATGTTTGGATGGGTAACATAATCCTCCATTATCTTTTATATTAATAAGCTTTTGAATCCATTCCAGTTCTGTAGCTGGTAAAGCTTTGATGCGTGTTTCACATTTAAGATCTTGACCAACTTTGTTAACAACATAGCCGAAAATATATCCAACGACTTGTTTTGTTACGTTCGTGAAAAGGTTGTCATTCTTTTGTATCACGATCCATTCTTTTTCTAAATATTTTCATTTACATTATTCTTTATATTTTGTGGATTTTCCTCGTCAATTTCATCATGGCGATGATCAAAGGAAGACTTATTGATTTCTTCTATATGGTTCTTATCAATTGATTTGTATGTTGAGTTAGATGTAGAACTTGTGTTCTACATCTAACTCAACATACTATTAATTTTTTCAAGGGGCACATAGTTACTTCCAAAACTGTTTTTTAATTCAAGGAGATTTAATAATTTTTTGTAGGCTGATTTAAACTGCACTACATTAGGATTGTTATTATAACCACATTTTTGCCGGATATAACCAAAAAATTATTCTAGATGGTCTTGTGAAAGTCTATACGTTGCGATATATTCCATTACGGTAATCTCAATTAACCTTGTATACAATACTTTTAAGCTTTCAAGACAAATAAGAAAACCCAAAAATCTCGTTTTAAAATTGCAATCTAACACTTTCTTCATAATTTTTTTTATAATTATGTTGTGTATCTGAACTCGTTTGATTGTGTTTTTTTTTTCTTTTCTTTTCTACACTTAGGTTCGTAACAAACTATTTATATTTATCAATTAATGTGTATATATCTTTTTCTGTTGTTGGTTTTAGACTTTTCTTAAATCCATAAGCTTTGGGGTCTCCCTTAGAATTTAATACATCAAAAATGTCATTGTATATTTTAATACATTCTGCATTGGGTTCACATTCCGAAAATTCAGAAGACAATTCCTTGGTCAAATGAAGTAACTGAGCCATACTATTACTTAGCAACTGTGATGCCAGCTTGACCTTCATGATTTGATTTCGAAAATTAATATGGCGGTTGGTTAATTTCTTGATTGTTCTAAGACCTTCGGTTTCCAAAATTTCTTGTATTTTTTTTTAAATATTTCCATTCAATCTTGTAATTCTTTTTGTCTAAAAATATTTTCTTTGATTAAAAACTGTTTTTTACTAGTTTGAGCATCTGACAAGCGTTGAACAATAGCACCACATCGTTTCCTGTTGTAGGATGTTTGAAAGTAGTTTTCAAGTTATTTGGGTCGTTTCGGTTACACCCTAAAACTCGCAATGCAGCAGTGTTAGTCTGACTGCCGATACATGTTACTGACGCTGTCGTATCGACGTTAATTTGTGCGAATTTTGTCAGTGGCAAATTTATTATATTGCCAAGTTTAACTGAAGATAACCCATAAGTAAAAAAATATCCAATAGGTATTTTTCATGTTAGATTAAAACATACGAGAAGTAAAACTAATGCAGAGGCTGCTAGATTTTGTGTATGGTCTGTGTCATCTAATCCATAATCAACAAACCCAACATGCTTCTTTATTTATTAATAGATCTTTCATGAATAAATTAAAATAAGAATAATTCATTATTTTTTATGAAGGTTATAACGTAATTTTTATTATAATTTTCAAAATATTTAAAATCAGAGGTAACAAATTAACTTATTTCATAAGTTATATAGTCTCCCATTAATGTGGGAAAATCATAAAGGCGGAAAAGTGGCAACATTTGATCTAAATAGTAATATTCGAAATTTTTATTTTTATTTTTGTGCGGTTTTTACGTTTATATGAAAAAATGAACTAAAACTCACGTGTAGAAAGTGATTCCGCTTGATTT